TCATTACACTATTGAATATTTCCTTAATAATAATTCAACTATCGAAATAATCACTATTAATTATGATTACTTAAATTTTAGGCTTTACACTTCCATTATGCTCACTCACACCGATGGTGCATAGCGACGACTAACATAAACCCTGCAGTGCTGAAACTACGGTACTAAGCCGAGTGTGAACCATATGGACCTATCTTCCCTAAGGAATCCCTAGACTGCGTGTATCTACGCAGCTGGCCCTTAAATCCTTGAATTCTGGCGGGTTTAGCGTATAAAATGCCATATAAGTTCCTAACACAGCTCGCACGTCGATTCGACAAACCGACCAGTCGGACGACGTATCATATCAAACATTATGTCCAACCCAAGCAAGCGATACGTCGAAGCGATATTAACCGAGCTACGAAGCTAATGAACCGCCCACACAACAACGGAATGAATCCAACTCGCGTGCGGAATTCAAGCCTAAGGGTTGAGGAATCAACGAGTCATGCCTAACCAAGAGGGACCTCGACGAATCACGATCTAATCAAGATCAAGTTTCGACTAACTTCAACAGCTCGATTTACTGCCTAATCAGGATCCGGATTTACTGCCAAATCAGTCAACGAGTCAAGTCCAGAACCGATCACGGGATAGAACCAAAAATGGCCAACAGAAAAACACAACACCTGGCGGACCGCCAAAGCCGAAGCCACGACGAACTATCCATATACAACAAGTTAGTCCACAAACAAGCATCGATACTAGACGAACCGATTACGAGCGCTACGAACTTAATGAACCCGCACACAAAAACGAAGTGAATCCACCGGCGTGCGGAATCAACAGTAACGGGTAGGAATAACGAGTTCATCCAACAAGAGGCGGACTCGCGAACACGATTCGAATCAAGATCACAGCTTCGACTCGAACTCAGAAGGCGATTTACTCTAATCAGGATCGGATTTATGCCAAATCACGTCAACGCGTGAAGTCCAGAACCGATCACGGTCAGAACGAAAATGGTTAAAAACCACAACACCTAGGGATCGCAAAAGCCGACGCCACCTATAGGTGCCCGTGGCGAGCACCCATTTTTAGGCTGGCTCGGCAAGCCGAGCACCTATAGGTTGGCTCGGTGGCCGAGCCCCATAGGGCTGGCAAGGCGAGCCACTATAGGTGGCCGGCAGATCTGTGCACCGGGCACATAAAGGGTGCCTATAAATTAGGGCCACGGGTGTTAAATTTGTAAAATGTTGGATTTTTTTTGATTCGAAACCCTGCTGCTTGGAGACTCAGATTTAAATAATCCAAGCTTGGGACTTCGAAATTCCTTCATCCAGATCTGCGTGCTCGGCGATCGTCAACGCCAAATAGGCAGCCCGTGTTCGAGAAGACCGGATTCTCAGACCACGCGTGCGTACTCCGCGATCAAAGTTGCGATCTTTGATCCGGATAGGGTGATTATTTCCTTTGGTGAATTAATCCCCCCC